AAATTAAATCCCTTTTTTATTATTATTTCAAAACACACCGCCATAAAGACAGTAAACCAACCAGGAACAAAATTTTTCTATACATAAAACGTTTAATAAGTAGCTAAACTCCTTGCTGTGTTTATTAGAAGAGCTCTAGAACTAAGTTGAGAAGTTTGGAGATAATTTAGTAATAGGCAAATACCAAATTAAGCAAATTAAAAAGCTAAACAGTTAAATTATAAACTCCAAGAAAAACAGAAAATAAAATAAAACCAGAGGACCTCATAAAGGAAAATATACAAATATCTAATACAACAACAATAATTAATAATACATGAAAAAATGTTCAACAACATTAGTCATCAGGAAAATGCAAACTAAAAGCAAAAGAGAAATCTTACACACTCACCAGAATGGCTAAAATGAAAAGGAATGGCATACCAAATGCTGGACAGAATGCAGAGCAACCAGATCATTAATGCGCTCATTATGTGTACTGGCAGGTGTGTAAAAAGGTGCAACTGCTTAGGAAAAGTTCTCAATTTCCTACAAAATCAATCATGCAGCTACCCTATGATATAGCAATTCCATTATCTATGTATTTAGACAAGAGAAATGAAAACATTATGTCCACAAAAAGACTTGCACAAGAATGTTCTCAATAGCCAAACTATAAGTAATAGTCAAAAACCATAGCAGAACCAGCCAAGGTGATCATCAACAGAAAATGGATAAAGTGAGGCATATTCCTGCAATGGAGTACTCAATAAATCACTAGTATATACAACATGGATGAATCTCAAGATTATGCTGAGTGAAAGAAGTTTTACCAAAAAGCATATCTTACATGATTCTATTTACATGAAATGAACACACAAGCAAAACTAATCTCAACTAGGAGGGGGGAAAAAAAAAGTTGCCCAAAAGGGAAGGGGGCAAAAAATAAATTAAAAAAGGAGGAGGGGCATAAAAAACTTTCCAGACTGTTAGTAATGTTCTACATTTTGGTAAAGGTTTAGATTATACAGATGTCTGTATCTGTCAGCATCTATCCTGCAGGCCAAATCTGGCCCACCACCTGTTTTTATACATAAAATTTTATTGGAACAGAGCCATATCTATGAATTTAAATACTGTCTATGTCTTGTATGCTGTAACAGCAAAGTTGAGTAGCTGTGACAGAGATCCAGTAAGTTCTCATTAAGTTTCTTCAGAGACCACATCACCTAAAAAGCCAAAATACTTACTACATAGTCCTTCAGAGAGTTTGCTGACCCCTAGGTCGAAATCCACAGAATGGTTCAAATCTGTGATTTCATGGTATGTATGTTTTATATAAAAGGAAGAATAATCATAA